ATCTGGGTGCCAGTGAGTGACTGATAGTTGGAAGAAAAGGCAAGTAATATTTAAGCCAACAGATATGACCAATAATTTTCATTTTAACTTCTCAAAGAGATAGAGACACATGAAAGCCTAATGTTGGAGAGAGTTGAAGGAAGTAGCAGCTATCAAACTCCAGCTCTTCCAGAGATTTAATTTTTTTTACATCTCTAAATTTATATATGTATATTTATTCCTTCAGTAGTTCTTGGCCAAGAGTTTTATCAGAATCTCAAAAAACTACTTCCAAATACACATGTCTGTGTACACATGTTATTGGATTTACTCAAAATCTTCAGGGGACAGTTTAGCCTTGTAAGTTTTTTTAAAGTTTCCTAGTTGACTGTGATCCGCCAGCACAATTCTAGCTGAGAACTAGAGCAGTAGACAATCATGTCAGTCTCATCTTTCACCTATGTGGCCAATTCTCCCTATCATTTGAGAATTCAGCCAAACAAAAAAAAAAAAAACAAAAACAAAAAACAAAAAAAAACGAGTCATTTATCCAACCTACATTTAATCCCTGGGTAGAGGTAGAAAAAGGACTAATAAACTCAAAATGCAACTTGATTCCATTATTTATACACTCCTTCCTTCCCATTAAGACACTTTAGATTCTCAAGCATTGTTTAGACTCTTATCTAAGTGGCTATTCTGCCAAATAGGATAATATGTCAGTTAATTATTTGTTTTTTCCTCTTCTTGCCTACTTTTTTTTTTTTTTAAGATTTTATTTATTTATTCATGAGATACAGAGAGGGAAAGAGGCAGAGATATAGGCAGAGGGAGAAGCAAGCTCAACTCGAGGAACCTGATGCGGGGCTTGATCCCAGGACCAAAGACCATGCCCTGAGCCAAAGGCATATGTTTAATCGCTGAGCCACCCAGGTGTCCCTCTTCTTGCTCACTAAATCAACCACCTGTTCACTGCCAAACTGATTTCTTCAGAATCCTTCTAGAATTGAACTTTAGGCAAGTTTACTACACACTCACTTGTTCCTAAAGGAAGAATGATTATCCCTGAAAATTGAAGACACCTTGCATAAATGTAAAAACTGAAGAAAAGCAAACACAATCAAAAGCCCTCTTCTTGTTATTTCCCCTCATTTGCTGAACTTCCAAATTGCTCTGAATATTTCTGCTTTATCCTTTTCCCTCTCTTTTGTTCCTCTTAAACCATGGCTAATGAAAGATAAATCCTGTCCATTTTGATAAATGCTTTTTTATCAAGTAGGAATGTCTCAACAGCAAGATTTTATATTGTAAAATCCATTTGCTTTGTGTTTTCAATAAAGCCTATTTCCAAGGATAATTTTGCTTTCCTGTGTTGCTTTATACTCATTAAAAAAACAAATTGGGTGAGTAAAAATATTTGAAAATATGGTTTTACCTTTAACACATTCCGTGTTCTCATAAATATTTGCCATAAATACAGAAAAGAAAGCTCCAATCTCTAATGCTTCCTTACAAGTATCATTATTTAGGGGGAACTGAGTGGCTCATTCAGTTGAGCAACTGATTCTTGGTCTTTTTCTTATTAAAAAATTATTTTTTATTGGTGTTCAATTTGCCAGCATATAGAATAACACCCAGTGCTCATCCCATCAAGTGCCCCCCTCGGTGCCCGTCACCCATTCACCCCCACACCCCGCCCACCTCCCCTTCCACCACCCCCAGTTCGTTTCCCAGAGTTAGGAGTCTTTCATGTTCTATCTCCCTTTTTGACATTTCCCATCCATTTCTTCTCCTTTCCACTTTATTCCCTTTCACTATTTTTTATATTCCCTGAATGAATGAGACCATATAATGTTTGTCCTTCTCCGATTGACTAAGTTCATTCTGCATAATACCCTCCAGTTCCATCCACCTGGAAGCAAATGGTGGGTATTTGTCATTTCTAATGGCTGAGTAATATTCCATTGGATACATAAACCACATCTTTATCCATTCATCTTTCGATGGACACCGAGGCTCCTTCCACAGTTTGGCTATTGTGGACATTGCTGCTAGAAACATCGGGATGCAGGTGTCCCGGCGTTTCCTTGCATCTGAATCTTTGGGGTAAATCCCCAACAGTGCAATTGCTGGGTCATAGGGCAGGTCTATTTTTAACTCTTTGAGGAACCTCCACCCAGTTTTCCAGAGTGGCTGCACCAGTTCACATTCCCACCAACAGTGTAAGAGGCTTCCCTTTTCTCCGCATCCTCTCCAACATTTGTGGTTTCCTGCCTTGTTAATTTTCCCCATTCTCACTGGTGTGAGGTGGTATCTCATTGTGGTTTTGATTTGTATTTCCCTGATGGCAAGTGATGCAGAGCATTTTCTCATGTGCATGTTGGCCATGTGTATGTCTTACTTTGTGAGATTTCTGTTCATGTCTTTTGCCCATTTCATGATTGGATTGTTTGTTTCTTTGCTGTTGAGTTTACTAAGTTCTTTATAGATCTTGGATACTAGCCCTTTATCTGATACATCATTTGCAAATATCTACTCCCATGCTGTAGGTTTTCTTTTAGTTTTGTTGACTCTTTCTTTTGCTGTGCAAAAGCTTCTTATCTTGATGAAGTCCCAATAGTTCATTTTTGCTTTTGTTTCTTTTGCCTTCATGGATGTATCTTGCAAGAAGTTACTGTGGCCAAGTTCAAAAAGGGTGTTACCTGTGTACTCTTCTAGGATTTTGATGGACTCTTGTCTCACATGTAGATCTTTCATCCACTTTCGAGTTTTCATCCATCTTTGTGTATGGTGCAAGAGTGGTCTACTTTCATTCTTCTCCATGTGGATGTCCAATTTTCCCAGCACCATTTATTGAAGAGACTGTCTTTCTTCCAGTGGATAGTCTTTCCTCCTTTATCGAATATTAGTTGATCATAATCAACTAAGTGGTTCAGGGTCCACTTCTGGGTTCTCTATTCTGTTCCAATGATCTATGTGTCTGTTTTTGTGCCAGTACCACACTGTCTTGATGACCACAGCTTTGTAGTACAACCTGAAATCTGGCATTGTGATGCCCCCAGCTATGGTTTTCTTTTTTAAAATTCCCCTGGCTATTTGGGGTCTTTTCTGATTCCACACAAATCTCAAAATAATTTGTTCCAACTCTCTGAAGAAAGTCCATGGTGTTTTGATAGGGATTGCATTTAATGCATATGCATTAAATGTGTTTTGATAGGGATTACATTAAATGCCTTGGGTACCATTGACATTTTCACAATACTAATTCTTCCAATCCATGAACATGGAATACTTTTGCATCTCTTTGCGTCTTCCTCAATTTTTTTCAGAAGTGTTCTGTAGATCCTTTACCTCTTTGGTTAGGTTTATTCCTATGTATCTTAAAAGCCATCTATGAAAAGCCCACAGCAAATATCATTCTCAATGGGGAAGCACTGGAAGCCTTTCCCCTAAGATCAGGAACAAGACAGGGATGTCCACTCTCACCACTGCTATTCAACATAGTACTAGAAGTCCTAGCCTCAGCAATCAGGCAACAAAAAGAAATAAAAGGCATTCAAATTGGCAAAGAAGTCAAACTCTCCCTCTTCACCGATGACATGATACTCTACATAGAAAACCCAAAAGACTCCACCCCAAGATTGCTAGAACTCATACAGCAATTTGGTAGTGTGGCAGGATACAAAATCAATGCACAGAAGTCAGTGGCATTTCTTACACACTAACAATGAGACTGAAGAAAGAGAAATTAAGGAGTCAGTTCCATTTACAATTGCACCCAAAAGTATATGATTCTTGGTCTTGATTCAGGTGATGATCTGAGTCATAAGATCCAGCCCTGAGTCAGGCTCAGCACAGAGTCTACTTCAGATTCTCCCTCACCACCTCCTGCTTGCATATCCCCGCTCACTCCCTCTAAAACAAATAAAATCTTTAAAAAGAAAAAAAAGGAAGGATGAGGATCATTGTGAGCCTGGGTGGCTCAGAGGGTTAAGCATCTACCTTTGGCTTAGGTCGTGATCCTAATCCTGGGATCAAGCCCGGTGCTTCAGGGTACCTGCTCAGTGGGAAGGCCTCTTCTTCCCTTCCATCTGCCTTTCCTCCTTACTCATGTTTGCTCTCTCTCATGCTCTCTTTCTCTCAAATAAATAAAATATTTAAAAATAAAAAGTATCATTATTTAAAGTGAAACCCTAGACAGTTATTTCCAAATATTATCATTCAGTAAATGCTTGAGCTTCCAAATATGAGAAATCGACCCTATCTATGGCAAACAACAGTGTTTCCACAAGGGCAGCCACTGAAGGCAATGCATGTCAACGAAAGCACAGGGAGACTAGCAAGTGTGGTCATCACCAGCTCCCCATGGCCACCTACCACCCCACTGAGGAACTACATAGGCTGAGCAGGAGCTACTCTCCGGAATGGGAGACCTCACCGTGGTACATGGCTGGCAGAGTGGCTACCAGCACAAGTAGATACCCCCTGTAGGATGTCATGACCGGATTCCCTTGCTCTCATCTTCTGAACCTTAGGGCCTAGAGTGCCCACGGCGTATTACAACCTGCTGCGTTCTCCTCGCATTTACACTCACCCAAGCTACTCCTCTGGGTCACGGTCTCCTACTCATCCCCTAAGCCTCTGCACAGTACTCAGCCTCCATCATCACCTCACTCCCCTCTAGGCCTTCAATCCTGGGCTCTGAGTACACCATCTACTCCCAGGCACTAACGAGAAGATTTTCTTTCTGGGGTAGATGGGGGGCTGGGAGATGGAACTTTGCCTTTTACATATGCATCACTTTTCCCTAGGCCTCCCTGCCTTGGTTTTGGAGTTGCTTCCATGATGACAGGACCTGATGTATTAAATTCAGCATCTGTGTGTACATATATATATGTGTATGTGTGTGTGTGTGTGTGTGTGTGTGTGTATGTATATATATATGAAATAAAATCTTTTACAGCTAAATATATAAATATATTTATAGTGTCAAACACTTTGTAAATAAAGTTGATCTGTACCTTGTTTTTTGCTTCTATATCTGCATTCTGTAAAAGCAGCTTCTCTGCTATTGATACATTGTCACCAAAGGCTGCATAATGGAGAGCGGTGTTGCCCTTGTTGTCCTTAAGATTTGGATCAGCACCGTGTTCCAGCAGAATAGTTGCACATGCCTCTTCTTGGCATTGTACAGCCTGTCAGTATTACACCAAGAAACAGAATATAATTTTGGGGAATTTAAATTAAACATGTCACAGGTTTAGCAACAACTTATGTTTAAATGCAACAAATGTTCATTCCAAGTAATTAAATCTAATCTATCTCAGGCAGACTTAGCTGTGACCACGTACCTTCATTAGAGCTGTCCTACTTTCATCATCACGGAGGTTGAGCTGGCATTTCCTCTCTACCAGGATAGTCACCACATCTACATGGCCATTGGCACAGGCCAAGTGGAGAGCAGTCCTGTGAAAGTGAAAGGACTTGTCAGGAAATTACAGTGTACTATTTCAAAACATGCAATTAATTAATGTAATTGTAAATGTTAAATAGCATGTTATTCTTATGACTTCAAAACAAAGATTTAGTTTTCTTTTGAAGAAGGTATAATATTTATTAGTGATTATTCACCACTCTATTAAAAGAGCAGCCTATCTGATTAGGAAGAGCATGACCTCAGGAGGCAGCTCAAACCTGGGTTTGATTCCTACTTGAACTCTGTCACTTAATAGTTATCACTTAGCTTTTTCACAATTTCCTCATCCACAAAATGGGCATAGAAATACTTATGTTGGGTCTCCTGTTTGGCTCACTATGAAGAGCATGTGACTCAATCTCAGGGGCCAGGGGTTCGAGCCCCATGTTGGTTATAGACATTATTAAACAATAATAATAATAAATAAAATAAAGCATAGTTATCTCACAAGACCTCACCATGATCCTTAAATGGGGAACTATGCAAAGTGTTTAGAATACTTCCTAGGAGAAATATTATAACTACTACTACAACTTACAAAGACAACATTCAATTAGGTAAACTGATCCAATTATGCCTTCTTTGCAGCTACGTTTTAAGGATGAGCAAGAATACTATATTTCAATGATTCCAAGATGCTCATTTTGACACCTTTTAATATCTCTGACATTGCAATGCAATTTATAATTCAAAATGTCTTACATCTATAAATGGCAGTATTTTAAAAAATTTCTCCTTGGTACATAATGTAGTGGGGCATCATACAATCTATGGTGCCTTAAATGAAATAATGACATATACAACAGGTCTATTGCACTTCTAGTCATATGGTCGGCATTTTTCAAGAACTAAAAAAAGTTCTAGTTCTTGAAAGCTTAATGGGAAAAGAGGACTAAAATAACAAAAGAATTTTTTTAAAGTAATTCTTATTTTGATTTTCAAGGAACTTTAAGCCAAAAGAAACTGAGGATTCATGACCAGGGACAGCTCATTTTATTAAACATTTAAATATATGGAAAATATTTAGATTTATAGAAATCAAGTATTTCCAATTATAAATATTCGTATTTAATACTATTATAAATTTCAAAAAGGCAGGTAAAGGTTATCTTCTACAATTTCCTATCTTCAGAAATGTTTTCATTTGACAGGAAGTTCCAAGGAAAAGCTTCAGTTGAGATTAAGTCCTAATACTTTGATTTTAAATTTCTTATCTTAGGGGCACCTGGATGCCTCAGCTGGCTTAATGTCTAACTTTTGGTTTTGGCTCAGGATGATCTCAAGGTTTATAAGATGGAGCCCCACATTAGGCTCCGTGCTCAGTGTGGAGTTTGCTTGAGATCCTCTCTCTTCCTCTGTCCCTCCACTCTCCCACGACCCTCTCTCTCTTTTTAAAATAAATAAATCTTTAAACATTAGAAAATAAAGTAAAATTTCTCTTAGCAGTGCCTGGCTGTCTCAGTCAGTAGAGCATGTGTCCTTAATCTCTCTATACAGAGATTACTTAAAAATAAAAGTTTTTAAAAAATAAAAAAAAAATTTCTCATCTTGCCCGTACTGGGCAACATGAAGTCTTTTTAAGAATGAAAAGATCCTGAGTAGATTATGTCTGCTACGTAACCTGTGTTTAGGTTCTGTTTGATAAATAGATGGACTAAAAGGGTAGATACATACATTTGGGGAGTTCAATATTTTTTAAAGATTTATCTATTTGAGAAAGAGAGAATGCATGAGTGGGGTGAAGGTCAGAGGTAGAGGGAGACAATCTCAAGCAGTCTCCCACTGAACATGGAGCCCAACAGGTTGTGGAGCCCACAAACCTGAGATCATGACCATAGTCAAAATCAAGAGTCTGATGCTCAACTGATTGAGCCACCCAGGCACTAGGAGAGTTCAATATTTTTAAAGAAAACTTTTAAAAGTAAAGTAATACTTTTGAAATAGGAATAATCATTTATATTTGCTATTTTTTATTTTTTCAGAAGACGGATACTACTAAAATTCTATAAGCTTTTGCAATATCATTTATATTTACTAGTTTTTATTTTCATAAGGATTTAACTAAAATAAAATTATCATTTACTTATTACATGTTATAAAGCTGCACATAACAAAAAACATGTGGATATATTTAATGTATGCATAATAAAATCTACAAGTACAGATAAAAATATTCCCCTTACTCCCAAAGAGGCTAAAGGTTGTCAGAAAATACCATTCCCCCACCCCTCAAATAATTTTAACTAGAAAGAGGGACACCTGGGTGGCTCAGTCACTTAGGCATCTGCCATTGGTTCAAGTCGTGGCTTATGTTAAGGCAACTTAACATATATAAGTACCATCATTCTTTATCTTCACAAAGCTTGCAGATGGAAAATGGGACTTTATTCCTTTTTTTTTTTTTTTTTTTTTAGATTTTATTTATTTATTTGAGAGAGAGAGCACCAGCAGAGGGGAGAGGCCGAGGGAAAAGCAGACACCCACTGAGCAGGAAGCCTGACCCAGGGCTAAATCCCAGGACCCAGAAATCATGACCTGATAAGAAGTCAAAAGAAGCCAAATGACTGGGCCATCCAGGGGCCTCTATTTCATTCCTTTAATATTCCCTGTAAAATGAATATATATAAATATATATATGTATTTTAATAGTTTTATTTATTCATGAGAGACACAGAGAGAGAGGCAGAGACACAGGCAGATGGAGAAGCAGGCTCCATGCAGGGAGCCCGATATGGGACTCGATCCCAGGACCCCAGGTTCACGCCCTGGTCCGAAGGCAGATGCTCAACCGCTGAACCACCCAGGCGTCCCTGAAGATATATTTTTTTATCTGATACACATATGTCGTAAATATTTTGCAAGTACATTCACATTTATTTTGTTAGTATTATTTTATGATATACAGAGGGTTTTAATTTTTTATGTGGCTAAATCAACCTCCAGAATTCTTGCTTTTACAGTCATTCTTAGGATGGTCTTCAGGATGGTCTTCACCAACATAAGAAACGGGCATATAAGAATTTGTGTTTTCTTCTTTCGTACTTTATTTTGCATATTTAACATTTTTAATCTGCATTCCATCTGGAACTTATTTTTATGAGATAAAATTCTAGTTAGTTTTCTTCAAATAGCAGATATATCATCAACACTATGAATGATTCACCTCTTCCTACTAATATGAAGTGTCACCAAGTGACACCAAGTGTCATCAAGTTATAAAGTCTTAACATATATTTAGATGTTTGGCATTTTCTATTCTGTTCCATTCATTCATCCGGCTTTTCAGCTATTAGCAAACGAATAATTTGTGGAAATTTAAGCTACATTTTTAATATCTAGAAGGGAAAATCTGTCTATTCTAAAAAAAAATTCTCTTTTTAAGTTTTAATTTTAGTTCCAGTTCGTTGACATACAGTGTTACATTAGGTTCAGGTGTACAATACAGTGAATAATCCCAAAAATTTTTTAATTTGATCACAATAAAAAAAGAGAGACAGCATGTATAAGCTCAAAATTTAAAACCATAACGTTTTTATTGCATTATGGAATACTGATAAACACGGGCAAAGTACACATTTTCAGAAAAATGAGTCTTCCTATTCACGGACAGAACCATCTTCCCAATTCAAAATCTCCTTCCAAGGTCTCTCATAAAATAATATAGGTATGAACTGTACACAGATATAGAAGTCAGACATTGCCCCGTATCCAAATAATTTTCAGTCCATATGTTGAGCAATTCTGGGAATTACTACTCTCAGCATGCACTTTTTAATAACATTGGTATAAGAAGATGTCCATTAAAAATAAATTACTATATACAGTTCATTCCATTTCTTTTCTCTTTTAGGATTTTATTTATTCTTGAGAGACAGAGAGAGAGGCAGAGACATAGGCAGAGGGAGACGCATGCTAGGAACCCGACTGGGGCTCTCAGGACCCAGGATCACGACCTGAACCAAAGGCAGACGCTCACCCACTCAGCCACCCAGGTGCCCCCTTAATTTTGTTTCTACTACTATTGAAAATCCGTTAAACCATGGCAAAACTGTCTGTAACGTGCTCCCTACGGAGAATTATGAACGGGTCCAAAGGCAGCTGAATATGTCTTGTTGCTCAGTGGGCCGGAGTAGACCCCAGGTAAGGTTCCACGACCTAGGTAGGTGCTGCGGGGCCGCCGGAAGAACGATGGCCAAGCGCCCTGGGGACTCACCCAGGACTCAGCTGTCCAGACTCAGGCCGGCAAGGTGAGCGCCTCTCCCCGTCCGCCCTGCCTCCCCACCCCCCGCCGGCTGCGAAGTCCCTATTACCTGTTCATCTTGTCTCTGTCATTCAAGTCATTTATCCCCAGCAACAGAATCCGCTGCACTTTCGCTGCGTTGCCCCCACTGGCAGCTTTGTGGATCTTTCTGAGATCTCCGACTCGGACGTGGTACCCGGGGCCCGGGTCGGCGAGTTTGGCACCGTTCAGGCGCCGCGAGCCGGCCCTCCGCGGGCTGATGTTGAAGCCCAGGGGCTGCTCGCCCCTCTTACCCCTGAAGCTAAACATTTTCTTCATTGCGAAGCGTTCGGGCTTCACAGACACAGGTCTTCGCTGCCTCCAGAGCTCAACACTTGGCGCTAGAAATAAGGCAAGCCCGCCTCTCGGAAACCGCCCAGCGACCGCGCGCAAGGATTCGGAATCTTCCTGCACAGAACAAACGTAACCCAGCAACGCTGCTAAACGCGAATGCGCCTGCGCGCTCAGAAACTGCGTCACTGCGCCTGCGCGCAGAGGGCCGGCGGCCAAGGGTGCCCAAAGCGCATGTGCAAAGCCCGAGCTCTCAAATCCCCGGATTCCCTGGGGCTGAGCTGGCTTCCCTTCAAACGTTGCCGGGGTGGCTGAGCGTTGCGGGACGTTTACGAAAGACTCTGGGGTGTGGAAACGTAGTCTCCCGGGGCCCTGAGTGGCTCGGTGGTTGAGTGTCCTGAGCCCGGATTCTGGGATCGAGTCCCACTCTGCTTGTGTTTCTGCCTCTGTCTCTGTCATGAATGCGGAAATAAAATAAAATCTTTTTTTTTTTTTTTTTTTTTTTAAAAAAAAAGGAGTCTTTGTCTACGACTAGGGCTCGAGTGCATGAAAGCACGTTCCCCCAGAATACTTCCCTGACGAATGCTCTCCCTCAGGCTATTCCTCTTCCACCACATCCCTCGGGACCCGTCGGTCTCCATGGAATGGAGCGGACGCAGCCAACAGAAAACTGTGCTCGGGTCCGGCTCGGCAAAGTGTGTCACGTCACCCAGCGCAAGCTCACAGGGGGAGAACAATTCATATTCCCTACATGAAATGAAAACGCGTTTCGGCATGCCTCAGGACCCTCCCATTGGGCCTTTTGGCCCAGCTTTGCGTTTACATTTTATTTTTATTTTTTGCTGTGATTCCCCAATTTGATATTTAATCAATCCAAGTTTTAGTTTGGAGTGTGGTGCAACATTTAAGATTTTTTTTTTTTCTGAGAGAGAGAGAGAGTGGGAGAGAGAGAAAGAGAGAGAGAGAGAGACAGAGGAATATGAGCTGAAATCAACAAACACAAAAAAATAAAAATAAACAGAGGCTTAACCAACTGAGCCACACAGGTGCCCCAACACTTAAGAACTGTTTTAAAAAAATAGTTAGTTGCTTCTTCTAAATAATACATCTTTTCTCACCTAGCTTAAAATGCCACTTTATCATAAATTCTGCTATGTTTTTCTGATTCTGTGTTTTACATTGGGTTCAACTGACCAGTCGTCTTGTCTCAGTACTCTACCATTTTAACTTCTTTATAAAATATGTTTTAGTATCCATTACAGGTGCATAGTTCCCTTCTTAATCTTCTCTTTCTGTATTCTCTTGGCAATATATACCTCTACGTTATTTGAAATGAATTTTTAATCACTATGCCAAATTTAAAGAATTCATGGTGAGAATTTGTAACTACATTAAAAGAATTAATATTAACAGAATCAATCTCCTTGAATCAGTGTATTTAGATGCATGTCGTGTCTTTGAGTTCAAGTCTTACTTGATATCCCTCCTTAGCTTCCAGGAGGTTTTTCCCTTATGTAAATCCTGAATACTTCTTGATGTATTTATATCTGGGCTTTTTCATTTTTCTACTGCAATGATATATTTTTCAATTATAACTTGTAAATGGTAGTTCTTTTTATGTCTGTGTAATTATTTGGCAAATAGTGAAGAACGTTTAAGCTACATATTTGTTAATAGAATTTGGCAGATTTTGGTAGGTACTTAAGGAAGGCACAAATTGGACGGTAAAGATTTCACCAGAAAGATCTAATATTGAAGAATCATATGATGCAGTTGACACAAAATCAAGTAAAATGCAAACAGGATGGGTTGTTCATATATACGTGTATGTGGCATACATGTCTACTTATATGCTGTATACTGACTGTCTACAGAAACTCCTTTTAATTTGGTAATTGATCCTCTAATTACAATGGGACTATAGGTGATATTGTGGGTGACACAGATAGAAAAAGGCAGGAGCACACCCATGACAACAGTTAATAAAAAACCTACCCCCAAACTCACAAGATTCCTACTACATTTTTTAATGACTTTAAGAATTAACCAAAGTAGGAGCCCCTGACTGGCTCAGTTAGTAGAATATGCAACTCTGGATCTTTGGGTTGTGATTTTAAGGCTCATGTTGGGTGGGGAGCCTACTTTTAAAAGGGAGAAAGTGGGGGCTCAGTTGGTTAGGCATCTGCCTTCAGCTCACATCATGATCTGAGCGTTCCTGAGATCAAGCCCCTTGTCAGGCTATGTGGTCAGTGGTCAGTGGGAGCCTGCTTCTCCCTCTCCCATTGCTGCTCCCTATGCTTGTTCTCTCTCTCTCTCTGTCTCTCTCTCTCTCTCCCCCAAATAGATAAACTCTTTTTTTAAAGGAATTAACCAAAAAACCTAATGACAACTACTGTTGCATAAGATGCACCAGCAAAATTGGGAAGTTTAGTGTCTATTTTTACAGAAAGACAAATGCATAGATATAAATGTAGGCACTTGTTTTAGAGGCCATTTAATGTCATTTTGTGTGTATAGGTTGCATGATTTGGCAATAAGTTGTTTGGAATGAGCAACCTAGAAACTGAGGGGGTCAGCATCTTCAGAAATTGCTGCTGGAATGACCTGCAGAACTCTGGAGAGCACTAGGGTCTCTCCGGTTAGGAGGTGGCTAGTTCCAGGACAGGTGTCTTCATTGGTGGAAGAGCAATGAACAAAAACAAAGAAACAACATTTCTTGGACCTATTCAGCTTAGCCAGAACAAATGGTTTTGGTGTGTGTGAATGATTTCAACTATGATCATCAAGCATTGGTCTCCTACAGATGCCAGCTAGAAAATTATCTTTTTGTCCTTAGAATTCCCCAGGGTGACTTATGAGACCAGTAAAGGCTCTCTGCAGTGACAATTGAATAGAAGACTCTGACATTTCCTCATGCAGCCTGCAATGAGAGGCAACGACATTACCAGGCTATAAGGAGATAAGAACTCCACACCAGGACTCCAGGTATGTTGAAGAATTTGGTTGACTGTAGTGTTTTTGTATAGATCAGAGATACTCAAAGGAAATATGGTGGTCCAACTCTGAGACTCTGTGCTCCTTGATCAAATGCTATGTGGATCCCCCAAAGACTTTCTCACAATCACCTGAAATCTAAGATATCCATTCCCAGACTTCTGTGGAAAATAATTTTAGATCTAGAACAGACATCCTCTGGAAAGTTCTTGATTAGAACTCCCATCCCCATCCAAGTCTCATGTATGCCCTGGTTCAACTTTGCTGCATACTCATTTGGTAGTTATACTAATGGAAATAACAAAGTGTTAAAGTAATATTTGTTTTATGACAAAACAACTGAGAAATGAATGCCTTAACAAATCCCTTAGCTCAGGTTTTCCAATTCAAATTCAGGACTGTCATGAATGTTTTCTCCTTTTAAGTGTTGCCAAGAAATTCACCACACACTTTGCATAGGGGAACCTGGATGGCTCAGTCAGTTAAAAGGCTTCTTTAGCTCAGGTCAGGACTCAGGGGTCTTGGGGTTGCCTGCCTTGAGCTCCCTGCTCAGCGGGGAGTCTACTCCTCCCCCTCCCTCTGTCCCCACACCCACTTGTGTTCCTCACTCTCAAATAAATGAAAATATTTAAACAAAAAAAAAACACTTTTTCATAACTGGTTATTCATTCTTTTGGACATCTCTTCCCTTGCAGTCCACTGTATCTACTTAGGAAAACTGAAACTATATCATAATTAAACCTTGATGTGAATATGAGGGCCCCAGTGTGCTGACGGTGACCTGGACCACTGTATACTGGAGATCCCTGACCTGGGTGAACCACCTCAAAGGGTCTGTAAAGTTAAATCAGAAACACATAATGAAAACCTTTATTCTGGCATTGTGAGAGTCAGTGAGGGAAAAACAAACATGACATTGCAGTATTCACGGAGTGAGGTGAGATTTAGTGCCACATTAAGGTGAGCACAAAGGGCCTATGGAGTCATGTAAAAATGAGGGTAGTGAGTCAAGGATGGATGCACAGGAAGAAGCAATATCAAAGCTAAAACTTAAAGAATGAATAGGGGTTAGCCAGTGGGAGGGAGAGAAGCACATTCCAAAAAGAAGGGATAGTGTATCGGTGAGGGTCCAAATAGGAGACAAACCACTTAGTAATTTGAACAGGGAATGTTTAATACAAAAAATGATGAACTTTAACAGTAGATCAACTATAAAGGTGAGAAAAGAAATCCAAATATCCTAGGGTGCAAGATTACCCAAGAAAGATTACCCAAAAGAGAGATTCCTAAGACTGGGATTTAGATCTCATTGAAGGAGATGTCTGAACTGCAACCACTGAGTTGCCTTGGCCAAAGCTGGTCCATGCTACTCATCATGCAAGCAGAAAATATCCTTCAGGAGTGCAGGGAGCCCCGTCTGATAAATGGATGTGTAGAGAGTGTCAGGGCACAATGATCCCACCGACCACCAGAGCAGTGCAAGGCCTCCAGTGTATCATATGCACATGCAGAAGGATGCAACAAACCCCTTAGGGATACAGCAGAGTGAAGGCTAAGGACTGGAGGCACAGTAGAGTGTCAAGAGCATTTGCTGGGGGCATGGTATCCTTTTTAGGAGGGTCATTGTCTGGAGTAGGGACTGCATGCTCTGGAGTGCACAGCTGGGAAGAGTACTTCTGATGCTGGTGGAGGAGGAGGAGGAGGAAGAGGAGGAGAAGGGAAGGAGAAAGAGAAGAAGGGAAGAAGAAGGAAAGGAGGAAGAGAAGGAAAGACAAAGAAGACAAAGATGAAGATGAAGACAAAGATGAAGAAGGGAAGCAAACCAGAACATGGGCCAGGGCCAGTGCTCAATCTCCAGGCAAACAGGAACAACCCTATGGGACACAAATGAGTTGAGGTTGGTAATTGGATGCACAGAGGCAGGACTCAAAATTCTCTGCCATTCACTTTGCTATAATCACACCTTCTTTAGCAACTTTGAACCCTCCTTCCAGTTAGTACTTTTGTGGTACACTCTTCAGACTTCTCTTTCCATCTTTTAATTACTATCTCATCATAGTTTAGTAATTATTTGTATTAAACTTTTACTGTTTAAAATACTATGTTATAT